GTTTGTGGCTCTAGGACTGAGGTCCCATTTCCTTGCTGACTGTTGGCAGAAGGCTATTCTCAGCTTCTAGAGGCCACCCATCTTCTAGACCAAGAGCTGCTCATAGCCATCCTGCACTCACCCCCTACAAGAGGGACCTTTTATGGATGACATACCTGCCCTGTAACCATGTCTGTGCCTTACCTATCACTTGCTTCATCTATTTTTGTGCAACTATACCATTTTTTATTTATTTGATACTGAATTTAACTTTATTTGTGCAGTTATTTAAATCTTTCGAGATGAAACACATACACACAGGCACAATTTTTTTTTTAGAGGGAGATTCTTGAACTTGTTCAACCCAAAGACATGGTGTGTGCTCAGAATATGCTGGACTCCTTTTGGGAAACTAAGTATATGAATCACTCAGGCCTTGCACCTAAAAGCAACAGACTCCTAGTATTATGCTGCATATTGAACAGCAGGCCAGTAGCACCAAAGTTGCTGTCCTAGGAATTGTATCGGGCTCCACCTGGATCCTCCTATTCACATGACGAGATTACATGTATGACTTCATTTCCGTGTTCTTCCCAACTGGCGCCATTTTGTTCCTCATGACAACAGCAGGCACAGGGGGGCTCTGAGGAAAGAAAACAGAAAGATGACCTTGTTTGCTGCTGCTGCTGCTGCTAGGAATCTATCCCACATCAAGATTTGGTTCCTTAATTTTCAGGAGATTAAGAATTGAGTGGTTTGCTGACTAGTATTTCAGCCTGCTGATTGGAATTTCAGTTCTTGATTGGAGGGGGAGTGCCTATGGAGGGAGGATGTTTGGAGACTGGGAAGGACAATGTCACCGAAGGGGGAAAAAAAAAAAAAACCTGTTTGCTGCGGAAGTTCTATTATGAGGAGTTGCCTGTGGCAGTTCTCGGTGTTTTTGCTGGGGAGCTGACAGCTTTTACTGATACTGTCTCCATGCACTGGTTATCGCCTGTGCCCTGTGCATACTGTTCTCTGCATTCGGATAGGGTCATTTATTGCAAGTTTATTCAGGTCCTTCCAGGCTCACAACCAACATTATCTTCAAAAAGCAATGAGTGATGGTTGAGCTTTATATACTAAAAAAACCCAGAGAGAGAAATGGAACTTGACAAGCATTAGGAAATAGTCTGCCAGAAATTAAGTACTAAGGATGCCATGGCCAAGGGTGTGAAAACAGCCACAGAAGCACCCGACTGGCTGCCGAATAAAAAAGAAGCAAATGAGAAAAACGAAGGAAAAGGTGAGAGAAGGAAACAAACCAACCCTGGACTAGAAGGAAAGCAGGTCCCCATTTTCACATGCCAAAGACTCTCATTAGAAACGAAATTGCAAACCAACAGTCAGATTGTTATGAACCATGAAGAAATACACAGCAACTTGAGAAAAGGCTGCCCACAGTTTTATAAACTGTAACACAGCAAAAGCAGAGTGTGATACAAATACCATTTCCATAGGAAGGTGCTTGAGGTTTTACTTCTCACTTGTGTCCACTGACTTGAACCAGAGATTTCATAATCAACCTTGAAACATTTTCAATCAAGACACCATTATTATTTGGTGGATTGGATTCAAATGACAGAAGACAGAGGGAAAGACTAGAGCTCAATTCTGGGCTAATTTTTTTTTTTTTTCACTTTTGGTGAAAAGCAGAAAGGAAAAAGGAGCTCAGATCTCCCATTGTCCAAATGTCCCCTCCATCCCAGAACGCTACCATTTCCCTCGCTTACATAACCAGCAAACTCTCTGCCTTCTCCATGCCTAATAATAGCATCCTGCTTCCTGTTCTCAACTTGATCTGCAAACTGCTTCCCTGACAGCAGGTTTTTTTTTTCCCCCCAGGGAAAGCCCAATACCACTGACATTTAGAGAAGCAATCTAAAGAATTTCAGTAGTAGAGGAAATATATATTTCCCATCCAAATCAGGTAATACCCTGGAATTAAGATAACACCAAGGGCTATAGAAAAAGAGAGAAATAGAGAAGGTGATGAAAGAAGGAAAATCGTATTTAAAAAAATTATTTGTGTTTGCGTTTTTTACTGTGAGGTTTAATGACTTATGTTGAACTGTCAGAGAAATTTTTGAGTAAATCCAACCTTTATTATGGGTTTTCCTCTCTAAACAATGTATATTTGATTTCAACCCTGCAAGTTCAGGCTATCTGACAACACACAGGTATAGATTAGGAACTCCCTGAGTCTGATTGGCAGGCCCCCAAAGAGAGCATTATATAGAATAAACACGCTTCCACTTCAGAATTTTAATTCTGGATCTTAATTAAGTGACTTAACTCTACTTCTGAAACAAGCCGTAAACCTCTGAGGAATTATAGGTGTTCAAAATTGCTCAAAATTGAAGTATGATGTTTGTAGTTTCTGAGGGACGTCCTTAACAGGTTACCAGAGTGTCCTTGTAGTAAATTTTATGGAACTGCCTCCCCCAGGAAGCACCGCACTCCTGAGATATTTGTTCCCCTCTCAGCTAACCTGTGAATGGAGCACAGCTGCCCCCTTCCGGGGTCACGGATGAAGTAATAAGCATCTGATCCAAGCCTGGCCCTCAGAGGCCTGCCCTGTGATTGTTCAAACTCCAAGGAAGATAAGCAAGCAAGCCTCTCCCTCCCAGGTCCCACCCTGGGAAGGCTTGTAAGACGCCAGCAGTTAAGGTTTTTTGTTATGTGAGAAGTCACATATGAAGAAGAAAACAGAGCTTATACAAAGCAGAGCTGAGCCAATGGAGAGAGAATCCTGACAGCATTAAGGGCCTGGGCTGGGTTTCTGGCACTTGATGTTCTCTGGATTCTGTGAACTAACAAATTCCTTTCATTGAGTTGAAACCAAGTGCATTTGTGTTTCTTTCACTAAAATAACCTAAGAGGTACAGACTAGCACATATATGGCCTTGACAAAACATTAAAGCTGAAAATAAAAGGATTTGGGACATGTTTACAGGTTAGATGCGTCCTTATTTAGAGGTAGGGCTTTCAGAGAAGTAATGAAGTTAAAGTGAGGTCATTAGGGTGAACCCTAATCCAATACAACTAATGTCCCTATAAAAAGGAGAAGGCTTTTGGACACAAGGACACACAGAGGGAAGAGGACATAAAGAGACACAGGAAGAAGATGGACATCCTCAAATTAGAGAGGCCTGGAGCAGATCCTCCCTCTCACCAGACCACAAAAGGAACCAGCCCTGTTGACAAGCTGATTTCAGACTCCTGGCTTCCAGAACTGCAAGGCAATGAATATTGATTGTATATGTCACACAGTTTGTGGTACTTAGCCCTAGAAAATTAACACTATGGACATTATCTATTATTTCTCCAATAGCAAGTAAGGAAACAGGACCAGAGAGGTAAGCCTGCCTACTGTTGACGGTTTCAATCAACGTTGAAAGAGCTACGGTTCCAGTCCAAGACGGCGCGTAGGAAGACCCTGGGCTCACCCCCTCCACGAACACACTGAATTTTACCTGTTCATAAAGCAGTTTCTCTTCAAGAAGAAATGAGGGCTGACGAAACAGCTCTTCAAAACAAAAGATAGAACGGCAAAAGAGAAAGGCAGGAGAGATGAGACAGGGTAATGTTGAAAGAGCTAGAATCTGAATGCACACTTCATAATTGATAGTTCAACATTCATTTCCATCATTTCACCCTAATTTGTAGGCCAAAGTTTTCTCGAAAACTTCAAACACACACTTTCCCCTCAGGAAGATATGGAAGATACAAGTAATACCTCTGAAAAGTAAATAAATTAGTAGAAAGAAGACAGCACAGCCTGGACACCCATATTTATAACAGCTGTCATGATATTAAGATCAAATCTTTTAGTTAAACATTCTCATTTAAAACCAATTTGCATAAATAATGAGGAGTCATTTCACAAAGAAACAGCTCAGTGAGAGAAATAAGTTACATTGGAAGGTATGCTGAACACGTCAAGAGTCCAAGCTGGGTTGCTATTGTCTACCATTACTCTGGAAAAAAAAAGGGGTGGGGGGGGGGAGGAAGAAATCTCACTCAAACTAGGGAAGCAGAGAAGTTACATTTTCTGAATTGAAGAAAAACAAATCTTGAGCAGCTCAAGAACATTTCTTTATGTCTGGATATAATTATGAAACTCTAACCCACCTGCTGTTTTGTTACTAATAAGGGACTTTATTTTTTTTCTTCCTCTGCTAACACCTACCAGCTGTATAGAAAGGTTCCATGATCTCCCACTCTTTCTGTCTGCCAGATTTTTCATATATGAATGCCCTGAAAATGTTAGCTTCACCTTGGTGTTTTAAGTGATATAATGCGTTTCTCCTACATCCTGTTTTTCACAAGATGTGTGATATATTTATATTGAAATCACCTTCCATATTCTCTAAGAATCTAATATAGTTTGAAATAAATAAAACAGCTTTTATCTGAAACCTCAACTTGTTTAATGCCCTAAAAACTATAGTGTCTCTCTACTCAAATATTTATTACATGAATATTAATTTTTAAAAATACTTTAATAAATGCTAATTATCCAAATACTTCCTATTCTATGTGAGGTTGGTTTTCTTATCGTGTAAAGCTCTACTCTACATCCTAAGAAAAGGGGAATTTGAATGTTTAAGACAAGAAGGAATAAGATTTAAATTTGGATTTTGAAATATTATATTAGAAACCATGAGAACAACATGTTAAATGTCCTTTTTTTTTTTCATGTGTAAAATAAGGAGATAGGGAATAACTTCCCTAAGGAGGTGTGATTTAAGGTGTTCCTGGAGGGATGAATAGAATTTTAACTGTGGGATACAAGAGGAAAAGGTGCTTGCTGCTGCTTTAGGAACCATAGCTCGTAAAATATTAAAGTGGAAAAGCAAAAGATGCCCATGTAGAAAACTGATGGTCTGTGGCTGAAGATCAGGATGGAAAGGTAGAAAGGAACCAGCACTTAAGAGCCTGTCCATGTTCTCCTGAACAATTTGGATTTTATTCACCAGGTGCCTTTAACCCGGAGTCCCCTAGGACCTGCAGGTCAGAAACATCATCTGGCCCCGGAGTGGAAGGTGAATTGGAGAAGAGTAAGTCTGGAAGTTGAGTCCTGCATATCTTTTTTTCTCCTGGCTCTAAAAACTCAAAAATCATTTAGAACCTCAAACATCCCTCTACCCTGGCTGCTCTTCTCCATCCACCTCTGGTCTGAATCTCTGTTGTAATACACACGAGGTAAAGTCAACACAGCAGATGCTTTCCTTCCCAATCTATACACCCTCTCCAGTCTGCCCCTTACAGTGGCCAGAGTAGGGCACGGCTAGGAATGGGAGCCGCTGGTAGGGCTGATGGGATCCTATCTCCCATAGAAGCAATTCTATTACCTAGACTGTCCTCCCAGACTTTCCAGATATGAGCAAAGGGATGTAAATAACCCAAAGGTGGAAACACCAACACCAGTAGGCTCTGGCCAAGCCCCTGCAGTGTAGTGACGGAAGTTCCAGCTGCCCAATCCCTTCATGTGCCACAGAAGCATACTGGGAACTCGCTGATTCTCCCCGCTTGTCAACACTCTTGGCCACCCAGCCAGAGCCTTTATCCCTCCTGACTCTGTCCTGGGAGTGATATCTTGCTGGGTCAGTGCCATTCCCAGAAGAGGAAGGTAGGCATCACCCAGAGAGCCCTCAGTGTGTCCTGAGCACGAGCCCTCAACTCCTTCCTCACCTACAGTGGTGCCCAGCAAGCAACTCCCTCCCTCTGGCAGGAAATGAGGACCTTCTCTTTTCTGCTTTTGCCAACCCCAGAAATTAGGCAGAAGCAAGAAGAAACTGGAGCTGTGGCTAAACTCCCGCCCTCAAGAGCTAGGCTATGCTGGATTCTAATCCCGACTCTGCCGCTCTGTGGGTACATGGTCTACAGCCAGCTTCACTGAGCTCCACAGCTTGTGTTTTGTTTTGTCTTCCTTGTGTAAAAATGGGAACAATGGTATTAACTGTAAAGAAAAGTTATCCGAGATTTATAAGAGATGATGCATATAAAGAATTCAGCACAGAGCCAGAAACAGATCATTACTGAATAGGTGTAAATAATTGATATAATGAAGCATCCCTTTTGTATCATCACACACATGTAGATACAAGGAACCACGGAGAAGGGAAAAATTCTCAAGCTGTTAATGATTATCTATTAATCTATTTAACAATAGATCTACTGCTAGTTGCTTTGTTCATGCAAATGCTGTAGAATAATTCTGCCTATTTTTCTTTCGGAGAGATCATTTAAAAAGATACTTTTTTACGTCTGAATGCAATGAAGTTCCTACAGAATATCAGCTAAATGGTAAGACATTCTTCCAATTCCCTTCATTTTCTTATTTAAGTAAATATAACAATACACTAATATTGAGCAAATAAGTTTGCATTCTATATAAAATGGGCTTTACCCCTTATTATAAAATAAAATAAAATATTTGCTATTGCAAATGCAAAAAAAAATCACAATGGGTCATACATAGTATAATGGACCCCATTGGACAAAGTGTTGGGGTGGGAAAATTCGTGATTTTTAATTTGGGGTACATAATTTACTTGTATGTTTCTTTATTTCAAACAGGACAGGAATGCCGGCCATCCTAGCATTACTGATCCCCATTTCTGATGACACTTCCGAAACTGTCTTCCCACAGTCTGCTGCCTTGTGCAACCCAACCACTTACTACAACCTTCTCCTGAGTCTAGTCTGCTTGTTGCAGAAAATCCCTGACAAGCTGATGCCACAAACTTTCTAGCACTTTTCTGGCAATCACCTGATCTATAAATTACAATCATAGGTGATCTCTTATTCCACTGAAATATTGTGAAAAACTGTTACGTAGAGGCTGTTTGAGCCCTTCATGGACAGTTGCTATATATAAAGAAAAATTACTAGCTTTGTATTTCAAACCTGAACCACATGACACACCAACGATACAGAAGCAGGCACTTTCCTCTGACATAAATGCATGATTTATCATCCCTCCCCTACGGCTGCCCGATTCAGTCCTTTAGGTTTTTCAATCCGAGTTTCACTTTTCTACATAGATTTAGCCTTTCCTATCTGAATAATCTTTGTCAATGGGTAATTTAGATTTTTCAGCAGATGTCACATAACCCTAGCATGAATATTTTTTAGGTGCAAGTTAAATTTGTGGCAGAGCATACAAAGGCCAATGTTTCCATTATAATCTAAAATGATAAAGAAATTACCACCATATTTTTTGAATACACAGTAGCACATAGTTCCCAAGGTTTAGTCATGAATATTACTATTTAAAGTTCTTAAAAGAGGAACCCTTTTACTTAGACATATCGGTTGAAGAACATACTATTTCTATTTTCTTAATGGAAAACTGCCATTTTTGCAGCATGCACTCCCATGATAGCACAGCACAGCAGGATTAAATGAGATACAAACAAAAATCTAAGGGAGATGACCCCAACACACACACTGCCTTGGTCCACGCACACCAACACAAGCCAACAGGTGTGACTTAGACGCTTGACCAACTTCTCTGTTGGCTGTCCTTTACCTACCAACTAAAACTCAAGTTCTTTGGCCTGTGTTATGGACTGCACTCTTTTGTTCCCCCCAAATTCATATGTTGAAACTCTAACCCACATGGGATGGTATTTGGAGATGAGGGCAATGGGGCAGGAGAGGGGGTGGGTAAAAAGGTCATGAGGATGGAGCCTTCATGTTGGGAGGGCCTGTATCTTGCTTGTTCCCTCTCTCTGTCCTTTCCTCCATCCCCCCATCTTTTCATCTCTCTCCTCACCATAGGAGGACACAGCTAAAAACCAACCGTCTACAAGCCAAGAAGAAGGCACTCACCAACACGGGCCCATGCTGGCACCCTCCTCTCTGACTTCCAGCTTCTAGAATTGTGAGAAATACATCTTTGTTGTTTAAAGCACCCAGTCTAGTATTTCATTACTGCACCCAAACAGACTGAGACAGCATGGAAGGTCCTTCGTAACAGCCCTCCTCTGCCTCTCCATGTCTACCCCCTACCTCTCCCTACCGTGGCACTTGAACATTTCCAAGTTTCTTGAATAAGCCAGATTATTGAACAAGCTGTTCACTCCATCTGGAATACCACTGCTTGCTACCTTTCCTTTTACCCAGGAAATTCTTATTTGTACATGGAATTATAACACAAACAGCAACACTTCTAGGAAGATCTTCCTAAATTTCTGAGGACAGAGTCAGTCCATCCCCTTGGCTCCCATAACACTTTTGCAAAACTCTATTTCAATTTGCTACATTACATAGAAAAAGTGGTTACTTACAATTCTAATGTGGAAGGTGAGAATATTCATTAAAAAGATGCCTTATTTACAGAGGCATTATTTTAGAAATGTATTTGGCACTCAGTAAGTAATGTATTATTGATTAATTGGATAACTGGAAAGGTAGGACAGATGGATGATAATAATTATTCATTTGATTGGCAGAAGGGCAGAACTTTAAATATGACTTATTATTCACAGAAATTGTGGTAAAAAGAAAAAGGACTTGTTTCTCATTGAGCTAAGTATACAATGCATGCTTTACAATAAAATAAAATTGGATGAACATTCCCTGAGCATATATCATGTACAAAATCTTGAACAAAGAATGAAAATCACAAAGACTAAGAGTATATTGTCTCTAAATTCATGAAATGCACAGACTACTGAAAGTAAACAGAAACTATTAAAATAGGGCGAGTTTTCATTTTGACCCATCATCTGTGGCATATATGATAAAAAAGAGTGTTCTTGAAAATGACGTGCACATTCAAAACCTGTATTCATTCTAATTGGTCTCCTCGAAAATGTGTAACATTTCACACCACTTTTCCTTAGACTAGCTATGCATCACCTTTAGCAAAAATGACTACTTGAGTTAAACTTCTTTCTGCCTCCATTAATTCTACAAAATAGACATGTTCATGGGAAACAGACACAAGGAAGGAGGAAAAGGAAGCAAGTGGCAAGATTATAATCAGCCATGAACTAAGTAAATACCAAGAGCTGGATCCAGATGGGTAGAGTATTTCAATACACAAGGCAAAACGTAGAATAATAATAATAATAATAATAATAATAATAATAAACTGAATAATTGGCAAGTTTCCTTTCCCCTTTTTGGCTGGGTCAACAGCAGGGCTACACACAACTCAGAGGAGGACTCAAGTCAGGAACATGATCAATTACATGTGTTTTTTCAGTGTTTATTCCAACCTATGTCATCTTCAGGAATAAGAGAGAGTTTGGTTCTGAGCTCAGATGGAGAAGTGTGGCAGCGTGGACGCTGTCTAGGGCAACACCGTGGAATGTAGCCGCACCCCATGGCTCATGGTAGACCACAGAACGTGCTCCATTTGGGGTTCTCTCTTAACCACCTGTCACCCTCCTCACCCCCACAAAATTTCGATGCAGCTTCTAACATTAAATTATATTAAAAGAAAGAAAAATTTTAAATTAGTCCATTCATCATCTAGAAAGATAGATGTACCAAGTACTTGTAGAATTTTATTGTTTTACTGAGTATTAATTTCAACTTCCAGAATTTCTGAAAGACAAAGCAAAAACGAGAACTGTATTGTAATGTACTCTTTCCGCCTGATTAAAAGAAACAAGAGTGTCTAGAGACGCAAATTGTGTTCCCAGAAAAACAGGCGCCTCCAAAGAAATTAAAGAATTCATCACGTGAGTCCTGTAATGAGAGACAATAGACATATAACAGAGAATATCTTTCCTTGCAGTTTTGTAAAAGATCCAACGAATCCTATAAAAAGGGTATTTCTTAAATTGATGCTGTATAAAAGCCAGCCTGCTGAGATTCTCCACTCATTTCAGGGGCAATATTTAAAATATTTAACAACAAAATGGCACAGGACTTGGAATTGGTGCAGAGCCCAAGAAGAGTCCTGCATGGTCAGGGTTATTTCTTTGATTTGCTGGATTGTGGGAAAGTCTAGGAGTCCTAAGAGAAGGTCTTTGATTGGAGAGAGTTCACTCAGGGGGCTGAGTACAGTGATTATTTATCACTTGGTATAGAAGTATTTTCATATTTTAGCAACTGTTGTGACCATAGCTGTACCTATTGCTCTGTGTGTATGTCTAGAGTTGGATAGGAAGCTCCACCTGTCACCAGAGAGAAAATAAATCATAAAAAAAAAAAAAAAAACCTTTTAGTTTTAAGGTGATGGCTGGCTGTGATTTTCATTTCAGTGCTCCCAGGTAAATCATCAAGTACCGCTGCCAATCATGTCGAATACCCCCATCCAAGGCTGTGGTTGTGCAGCTTTAAATAAAATAACATTTTGCAGTAGGTAAAGGTTCACTGACTTCTTCAGTTTATGTTAGAGAGCAGCTCAAGATCCTGACTTGGAGGTGACAGGTGACAGGTGGCAGGTGGCAGTGTCACAGTCTAAGAATATATGTCTTTTATTCTCCTCATTTGGGTCAAATGAGCCAAACTGATGAGTAGCTAGGCACTGTCTATGTTACACAAGCAGCTCAGGAAACTTGAAAAGATCACGCTTTCAGAGAATCAACTTTTCTATTTAAATCTCTATGAAGTCGAGCTACATTGACTTGGGTTGTTCATTTGCAAAACAATTAGACAGACACTATTATTTGATTTAATCTGACACTTTACATTAGTATCAGGCAGTGACATTGGCTGTCATTGATAGCAACTTTAAAAAAGAACAACCCTGAGAAAGAACTAAAGCATATTTCTTCCCAGAGTAACCTAACTCTACCTTAGAGAGCTTAGCTACCTCAGCGAGCTGTGAAAGTGAACTCAATCTCCAGCCTCCCCAAATTCATTCCATTAGCAAAGCCCCAAATCTCTCATTTTTTAGACTGTTCTAGTCCCTATATCTGAGAATCAAATTGAAATACTAGTGTAACGCGTGAGAAAGATGCACCCCTATTATTTGAGGAGGCTGAGGTTGCCTGGGGAGAGAATGCAGAGACACACGTGCGCAACACGGGTTACTGATAATAACCATCCTACACAACCGGTAGAATTTTGCATAAAGCCTGGGTCATGGCATTGGCTTCTGAGAGACTTTATAAGATATTGCTTCCCTGGTTAATCTAATGTGAGCTGAGGGTTGATCCTTAGGCTGAAAACAGGTACACTCTTGCTCACCCATTTCCACACAACAGACATAACCCAGGATGTCAAGGATGTTTAAAACCAGACTAGTGATCCCTTCAGCAAAACTGAACCCCTCGTGTAAAGGGGGTGCTGGGACAGGAAGGGGTTCGCTTGTTGGTCTCTCCGGCTCTAGCACCCAA